TCTTATTGGATGATGGTTTGCTTTGATTGGTCGCAGTTATATTCACTCAAGGGAACCAATCATCTTAAACAAAATGACTTTTATTCCTTGCACGGATTCAAAATATATGGATTTTTAGTGTGGCGACGCCAGAAAATGCAGTTCGACACCGTAGGTAGGGAAATAGGTCACTGTAGATCTTTCTCGATGATACATTGTTAAGCACATGATCGGTTTCCTCCAATAATGGACACGTTCAATTCACGTGGGTGCCTTCCATCAATTCTAATTCTGCTACTCTGTACGAGCGCAGGCTTGATGAAATGGAGACAAAGGAGGAATATAAAATACAATTTTGAATGCATTAAATAGAGAAAAATGAATTTCAGCTAATTTGGGATGGGTGTGGCCCCTGGGAGTGGCCTGAGTGGGTTGGGAGGTCGAAACTTGGTTTTTCTGATGGTTCGGGTCAGGTACTACCCATTTTTACACTAAAATAGTTCCAAATACCCCGGAACATACATCCCCTACAGGGGTAAAGATTTTCAATCTTGATTTTACCTGGATTTCAGCTATTTTGGGATGGGCGTGGCCTCTTGGAGTGGCCTGAGTGGGTTGGGAGGTCGAAACTTGATTTTTCTGATGGTTCGGGTCAGGTACTACCCATTTTTACACTAGTAAAATAGTTCCAAATACCCCGGAACATACATCCCCTACAGGGGTAAAGATTTTCAATCTTGATTTTACCTGGATTTCAGCTATTTTGGGATGGGCGTGGCCTCTTGGAGTGGCCTGAGTGGGTTGGGAGGTCGAAACTTGATTTTTCTGATGGTTCGGGTCAGGTACTACCCATTTTTACACTAGTAAAATAGTTCCAAATACCCCGGAACATACATCCCCTACAGGGGTAAAGATTTTCAATCTTGATTTTACCTGGATTTCAGCTATTTTGGGATGGGCGTGGCCTCTTGGAGTGGCCTGAGTGGGTTGGGAGGTCGAAACTTGATTTTTCTGATGGTTCGGGTCAGGTACTACCCATTTTTACACTAGTAAAATAGTTCCAAATACCCCGGAACATACATCCCCTACAGGGGTAAAGATTCTCAGTCTGTATTTTAGGGGACTTCGGCTATTTTGGAATGGCCTGAATGGCATGGGGTTGGATGTGTTTTTAACTTATTCATATCTTATTGTCTATAAATACGAGCAGTTTGGTGAGACTTCTGATGGCTACCGTCGCAGATTCTACAATGACAAATATTGTAACATACGTGCAGCGCGCAAAATCCCCTACAAAATCCCCTACAAAATTCAGAGAAACGTCTTCTGAAGTTCAGCGCTCATGTGTAATTGTATTGCGCAAGCGATTTTCAATTGCGCGCCCTGAAAATCGAGTCTAAAAATCTATATTCTCCTAAATTTTTGACGATTTTTCCAAGTCCAAGATTTTCAAAATCGAATTAAAAATTTTCTAAGGCTTATCTTAAAATTCTGATCGAACTGAATCTTCTAAATGGTCCTCAGAACATATCCTTAAAGTTTCAAGGTGATTACTTAAAACTTTAAAAATGTAGGAGAAGATAGATTTTTAGACTCAATTTTCAGGGCGCGTGATTGAAAATCGCTCTGAAATGAGCGCTGACTTTTGACCGGCAATAACTTCGGCTAGGAACAATATTTTTCCATGGGACCAAAAGCAACTGATAGATATCACTCCCCTCTATCAAAAACAACTATAAAATCAATTTCGAGAGAAATTTCATAAAGACCCCCCTGCGGTTTTAAAGGGGGTTTCTGATGGCCGGCGATTGGTTCGAATGGATCCTGGTGGCTTTCTGGGGAACTCAATTATCGAACTTATTTCGACCTGCATCAACGTTGCAACTGATTGTGCTATTAAAAGCATTTATAGGCTAATTTTTTTGACGTTGAAAACTGATGTTTCAAACATAACAAAAACGTCATGCTAAAAGTGATCCGAAATTCGAATAAAATTGAAGACAAATGATACATAATTTTGTGATGCAACACTACTCTACATTATATACTTCAACTATGTACAGCTGTTGCTACAAGTTTGAGAACATCATCTGGTGCGTGACATAGCGATCACATGAAACAACTATGGTATAATGGTATGTGACCTACTAGTGGTACGTGGCAGTGGTACGTGGCAGAGCTTAAACTCGGATCATTAGACTTGAAAGATGCACCCATGCTAAACGCAGAGGCTCTTTAAGGTTACGAACACGTGAACATAACAATAAATAAACGTTCCGATTAAACTGCATCATTCTGCTAAATATACGATATCGTAAATCAAATTAATCAAATGCTCGAGCTGCAAAGGTAAAAGCATTGCAAGGAGTAACGTGAAATGAGTGTAACTTGAACTAGGTACAACCTAATTTCTTGTAGTAATTAGTAAACCTAGAGGCTCATATTGTTGCAACCTGGCCACGTTTTGCATGGCTCGCAACGTGCAAAAATTTGGGACTGAAAATTAGAAAATATTGATTCCATTATGAAATGAGGTATTTATATCCCGCTCATATGATTAACCAACAACATAAGGAAGGTGGTTAACCATGTCAGAGCGGCTGACTGTGAGTGATGTGAGCAAATGTGAACAAAAGTATAACCCATTATAAGGCATAAAAGATATAACTTTTTTTTTTATAAAACACGCCAATATCGCGTTGCATTCGCCAACATCAGCCGAATGGCCTCCATCGAAGCGAACTTTGTCGATTTTTTATTGGAAACTAAATCATCGAACTTATTTGGGAACATTGAGGATCGTGCATAATTCTGCCCGGGACATTGAGGAACGTGCATGAATCTGTCTGAAAAGTTTAGGAACCTTCTGGTTGCTGAACATTCTGAATGATTAACGTTCTTAAGTTGCACTTAAGTTGATTTTTTAACGCGACTTAAGTACATTTTTGTACTTAAGTCTCAAACTTGAAACAGAATAAGTGAACTTTGGGAAATACATAAGTAGAGTTTCGGAAACACTTTCACTAATTCTACTTAAGTCGACCATACACTTAAGTGCCACTTAAGCGTTTTTTTCGGAATGACCCCCTGGATAATATAAATTGATTTTATAATACTTCCTGATTTCTGGACTTAATTTTGGTATGAAATCTTTTTCAGCTTCTTACAGATCCTTTAAAGTGCTTCATTATAGCACTTTTAGTTAATTAGTATATAAGAAGCTAGCAATTTCATCATTTTACTAGCTGATTATACATATTTGACGGTGAGTTGTGGCTACCAACAATTAATTTTATCATTCTCAGAAGCGGGAAAGACGGGGAACCCACTGTCTGACGCGGAAACACATGTCAACTTAGTGAACGAGTTGAACAAACAAGTGCAGTAAGTAGATTAATACTTATCTATCTCATTAGCTTATATCTAAGGCTGCTAATATTTCCCGGTAACAACAAAACGACACAAAAACTCTACATTATGATTTAAACTAAAGAGAAGTACTCGGGAACGCCATTATCCTCAATATGGTGAATTCATGACTTTTCTGATATAACAGATCAAGGAAGATGTCCAAACTTAAAAGAAAATAGTTACTCCGTAACGTAATTCAAAGTCATATTTTGTAAATGTTATTTATTTTTAGTGTTTCAAAATATACCAACACTACGAATCTATAGAACACTTGCATAAGTATAACTCACTTACAGTATCCACTTGTTTGAAACTAACGAAACCAAACGGAACCGAGTTAAAAAATTAAGAAGCAAATGCTGTGAACTAAATCAAAAGTTAACTATTCAAGACATTCTACTCATACCCTGTAACTTTATTTATTAAAAATTCTTTATAATATATGATATTGTTGAATTTTTAAGGTGGAGTAATTAAAGCATCTAACAAGTGTAATTAAAACTTTCACGCTGTTTTATTAGAAATACTTTGAGTTTGAACACCTTTCGCCCTGCCCAATAACGTTGTGCCCCACATCATCCAGCCCAGTAGCGTCAGAACTAGGGTTATCATGGCGAGGGTAAGGGTAAGAGTCAGATTTGGGGCTTGGATTACGATCATGTTAAGGATAAGACATTTAAGATCCCCTCCCTCCTTGATTTTTACATTTTTAAAATGATCATTACAATGATCTCATAGACGCATTCCGAGAAACTCATCTTGGTCACACTAAGAGCACCATCTTTAACTACTTCGTGGATACAGGATAGATCGGTAATCGGTTGCTAAATCACTAATCGGTTATCAAGTATTTGGATCTAGGTGCCAGACTGACGTCAATCGGTCAATAGGTTCCCATGAAAAAGTTGGAAGAATAACGGTCAAGTGTTTTGATACTTGTGACAGCTGACAACTCAGGAGCTGTAATCCATCTCTACCCTTAACAGGTTCAGCAGCCTATTACAGTATTACAAAGTGCACTGCTTTCTCAGGTCCTATTTGATCTGTTTCAAAACTTAAATTGCACCTCTATTTTAGCTCTAGAACGACAAATAATTTCGCAACTAAACGATCAATTTCCCTAGGCAATGACCTGAAATGTCAATTGTTAAGTAGTTTCTCAATCCGAACGTTGAATTAAAAAGGAGCGTCGAGTCTTGAGATCATTTCGGCAAGCAGAACAGGTGGAGTCGATATCGTCTTCTACAGAACTGCATCAAAGTAGACGAACTAACAGAGAAGGCAGGTTTTGAAACTGGTCAAATAAAGTCTGTTATAAGCAGAATGGTGGAAATTTGCCAGTGCCTGCAAGTCTGACACGTGCCAAGCAGATCCTATAGTTCTCATAACACGTGACATATTAGACCAGCGTGCAGTATACTAAGTCATAGACGAGATATCATTAAAAAACCACACCGTGTTGAGTGAATAAAGGGTGGGATTATAAAAACTGTTTGCAGGGATTATACAGGTGGACAACAACAGCAGGATGGATCAAAATAAGACCAATCCTTATTTTCTGTCCCGTCGCTTAGCAGTATCCAGGTGGTGTTTATAAAAAATGCATAAGCATTGAGCACGCCCAACGAATGCTCCTATCTAAGTTTAAGGTTTACAATCATAGATATGATATGTCTATATAACTATATAAAAGGTGAGTTGTTTGTCACGTGACACGCACGCATGCACGTGGTACGCGCGCAGGCACGTGACTACAGTTTAAGAGCTCTTAGACAAATCTAGTCCCTGTGCTCTAGAAGTCTGAGTAACAATAGACAAAATTTCAGTTCCATACACGATGTCTATTCTTTTATTTGATATCCTGGCTCTCACGGCCTACCCTTGATCCTCACTTAGGATTAAGGACGAATCTTTAATAATCAATAAATATGACGTGAATAACGCTTTTATTTCCGGGCACAAACCGTTACGCAGCTCAACACCTTTCACCACACCTAAATCTAGATTAAAGCACTCAACTGATGTCAGGTTAGGAACAATTGCAACTCTCCAAACGACGAGTATACTGTACAGCACTTAAATTGTTTAAGCTGAGTTACCGTTGCATTAGATGGTTTTTTGTTTCTCATCGAGCAGCTTGTTCACTACAACCCTTTTTCAGAATTGGGTTGCTTTGATAAAGTGTTGTGAATAGAAGTTAGCTTAAGTGGTCCACCCCAAAATCAAATTTAATACGTCATGTGAGAACCTAAATTAAGTACTGACACTGTGGGGTTCGAACCTAAGTGACTGTTAGAACATGGTCCTGATAACATGTTTAACTTAGATTCACTCCTAATCATCCTCATGTCTCATTTCATCAAGCACAGTTTACTAATCAAATGGAAATATTCGGACTCGCTTGCTGACAGGCTAGGCTTATCAATATCAAATGATCCACTCGGTGCCCCATGTTCATAATGATCACCCTTGTCGAGAACAAAATCGAAGAACTAAGTTATTTTATAATTTTGTTTCTTATATCATTATGGATTCAAACATTTATCCATCAAATGCAAACTTTATATGAAATACTAATAGCCGCTGGTAATCTACACTTAATTTGTTATTTTACAAAGTATAAAGTTAACTTTTAGTTGTAATTTTGCTACTAGTCAACGTCGCGTATCAAAACTGTCAAGAGAATAGACAGATTTAGATGGAGGTCCCTATATTAAATATTTTATTAGCTTATAAGAGAAAATGGAGAATGTAACATGAACCTACCATACTGCGAACACCTGTCATATATTAAATTATAATAATATGTATAATATTTTATTAAAACGGGTGCCTCTCCAGCTGCCTTATTATGGAAATTAATTTAATTTAAGATTCGTCTGCTGAAGAACTTTTATCAACCTTAAACTTTAAGGTTGATTAAAGTTAACGTTAACTCATAACTATCAAGCTGATCTACTGATCTAATGATTTTGTCAATTTGATTTGCTTATAATTCACGGAGAGTTCTTTTTGATAATAACCTGTCAATATATAATATATATCTGTATTTTATTGGACAATTTTACCACTAGAAAAGCTGCTATTGGCCCATGTGCTCGCGTGATCAGTCGTGACTTAAAGGACCAGTTAACTCAAAAAAAAGTTATCCTCATATTTTGACAGACTAGATTGTGACAAATAGCAAACTGAGCAACGAGTCGAAATTCCTAAATCTCTAACTGCTCTCTAACGCGTGTAATTAGCGTTTGTATTATTTTGACGATGACGTCATAAAGTCCCTTTCGCGCGCAGAGGAGCTCGTGAGACTGTATTTTACAGGTAGAAAATGGACATAATACAATGTTTTTCCCCCAAATAATTCGAAAAGTAAGTATTTTAGGGTACATGTTGCTTCATAAGTTGTACATAAACATGGCCATTCTGCACAATTTGCACTCATTCAAATATCTGTAGGGCCTTCAGAGCCCAATTTACGAGATACCCATATTTTTGCATGATTTCTGGAACCGAAAATCAGATTTTCGCCAATAACTGAAAAAGTAAGCACTTTAAGGCATCTGTTTCTTCGTAAGTCATATATAAATATGCTAATTGCGCGTGCGGTTCTTTTGCACTCTCTCTGAAGACTCTATGACGATCCCCTCAAAAGTTCTAGGTTAAATGGGCTCAGCGCCACGCCCAAAATGGTTTTTGGCGAATTTCTCGAAAAGCAAGAATTTTGTGCCATTTGTTGCTCAATAACTTCTATATAAACTTGCGTATGCGGCTTCGTTTAAGCCTATTTTGAAGTCTCCACGACCTTCAGAAGCAATAAAGGGTCGGTTACGTTATTGGGTCAATATCGGCGTGGTCAATATGTCTCCAACCAAAAATCGTTTATTCATACTTTTGGGAAGGTCTTTGCAAAATTTCGTGAGTATACGAAAATTTGCAGGTCCAATTCCATAAATGTCCATAAATGACTGGACTACACAACTTTAGAGTTAACTTTAGAGAAACAAATTTTTCAGTTAACTGGTCCTTTAATGATCGCGTGGCAACACCAAACACGCGCGCATCGAGGATTAGTGATTATTCTGCTATGGTGTAGTGCACGCTGCATGGGTTGGGAGGATATTGCCAGGAGACGGTTATAATTCTGTAAGGTGCAGATATTCTACTCAAGAGGCTGAATTGACTACTTTTGTCGCCACAATTATCGTCAATCGGGAATCGGGATCAATGAACACAGTTTTCTTAACAAGACTTGATTGGCATTCGGTAGCATTAACTTAGGGTTCCCGTAAGATTATTTTAATCCCTCATAAGAGCATGATTTTTAGCCGAGTCATTACCAAATCAGTTGTATCACCTCCAACGAATAATGTCCGTATTTTTAGATTGCCCAGTTTTTCCCACGGCAGTACCTACTGAAAACAGAGGTGCAGTACTTAACAGCATGTTATTGTTTAAAAGTTAAAAGTCTCGAGTGAATCAAAAGAAATGGGACATGTTTCTGCAAATTTCCGATTGCCGTGTCAAGAAATAAATAATGAATGATACCTGAAATTACTTTTTACTCTCCGTGCAGTGACCGTGCGATTCTCAAGATATGCGTGACTTCCCTCGCCACCCGTCATTACGTCAAAACAATTTATGTTTTCACCAGTGCGAAAATATTGGGGGAGAGATTGAGTAGACATTTTTGAATGATTTAAAAAGGTCATTACGCGCCAGTAACAACCGACTAGTGATCAGTGTCAAATAACAAAAGCTCACATTGCGTCAAAGAATAAAATACCTCTGTGACATTATCGGACTTTATTTTAACGGACACAGCTTTGACGCTGGAGAGTGGAGGCCTTTGGACTTTGCGTCCATAATATGGTCCGTTAAAATGAAGTCTGTTTATTCAATTTTCGACCAAATCAAAGTCTGTGCAAATTTTGTCGAGTCCTAAAGTATATCGTGTATACGTTAATTTGTAGTTGAGAGTGCTGACAAATTATCATGAAAAGCCTTGAAACCTTCTATTAACAATAATTTTCTATCTAACGAAAGTTAGACTTAGAGCAAAAATCTAGCGTTTATAATTATGTCCATTCAATATTAACGTCCGTCCGTCCAAAAAACGTCCGAAAGGTGTACCAAATTTTCAAATCAAAAGAAAAAGAAATAAAGATTAACAAGAAATGTCATAGTTCGGTAGTACAGCAACATTTTGTTAAAAATTCGTTGAATTCGGCACATTTTTTCAGTTCGAAAAAAATTCGTCCTTTAAATTTTCTTAATTTACTAAATCGCATTTAAGATTTTCAACGGGTCATGTCGGCACTATTTATGTAATTAGCAATGAAATGATCGGGAAATAGGCACTATGGTTCATGATTTGTGAGCGGTTGAAAGCGTGGAAGACAATGACTCCAAAATGGGAGCCCGGTGATGATATATCGAAACAGATTAATATCAAGGGAGTACGGGGTCTTGGCCTGATTTATTTGAAGAGGAGAGCGAGATCTGCCAGATAATGGTCGAAGAGCAGTTCAATTCCAAGAAAGAAAGGAAAGTTCCTAGAATAAGTGTTTTTCTTAGTCTTCTTTGTGGCGACAATCCCTTGAATCATTGCACATGATGACCATTAATTAACAATAACATGATCAAAAGTGGTACCGTGAATAGATTCAAGTAGGTAGCTGAACTAGATCAGCTTTGTTACCACTACCAGATTAGAAAAGCTTTTGACAGTTTAACGGACTGCTCCTTCCACGGACGAAGCGAAATGAGGTAGTCAAGGGATCCGATTGTACTAGACAGGCTCGTAAGTGGAACCCTGTCAAAAATTTCCAGTATAATAATGCCCAGTGGGAAGAGGGGCGGCAATGACCTAAAATGGCATAAATGTCAATATACTTAAAGGTGTTGCATTTTCTACGTAATCTATAATATTTCATGCCATTTTGGAATTAAAAATTTAGAAAAATCTGTATTTTACAAAGTTTCAGCCTTAAATGATGGGTAAATTGAATTCAATATTCATCTAGAATTTATGTAGATATCATTTGGAACAAGGGTCCCCCTTGTATAAATTCCGTATAAAGTATTCAATTTTTTTAATTTGTTACTTCAAATATAATAACTTTGTTACTAAACGTTTTTTCTCGCCAAGATAATTACGATCCTGTAAAAATTATTTTAAAATAACGGATGATTTGTGTATAACCAGACTAAATATTAACAATTTCATTTTAATCAAAGTTTACCGGATCATGCCCCCTAGAAGCCTGGTATGAGCTTTGAGTTGCCCCGTATACGTATATACCTCCTCCCTCCCTTCATTATCAAGGTGGACTGAACTGTGAGACATTTTAATGTCAAATGTTACTTTCTAAAAGGATTTCAAACTAGGAACATGTCCAGAAGCATACCATTGTGCACTTTATCAGTCGATATTCACTGCTTGATATAATACAGCTGTACGAGTAAACAGATTGATTAATGAAACCGTCACCGTTACAAACTTTACCTTAGAATTAAGTAGTACTGTAGGCACAATCTAGTGATGAATATAAAACTTCAGCGGGTGTTCAGAAGTACAAAGGAGTGATGTAGAAGACTCTATCAGTATTATATGAGTTAACAACACTACCCCATCCACCTTTATCCAATATTTCTTATGATATTGTTGAGCATTTTCATGAGAAGAAGCTGAACAAATAGTAGTTATTGTTAGACTTTTTAGCCCTCAATATTGCATCTAACGTGGAATCTGGAGTAGGCCCTAAAAGAACCCCGTGAAAAGAGGATACAACTAAATAATAAATATCTGTTAGAAATATACTAACTGTTCGCAGAGTTGACAACTCTCTTCCAAAAAAACAGAATCATAGATAAAAACTTGAAAGACCACGAAAAATATTGATTCTTTAACCCGTAACTTCTTTACAAAGTTACAATCCATAGCAAATTAGATTACCATAAAGTTTTAATAATAAATACCTTGATAAGGACGGTTAATCAATGATGATCATATGGAAAGGCCGTTTGTTTCAAACAAAATGTTTCCATTAACCAAACAAACTTTGTTTGGTTAATGGAAACATTGGGCATCTATTTGTAAGAGCTGAGAATTATCTTCCTCAGAGACACAGTAACGCGGGCGAAAACGGCAGAGGAAAAGGTTGCCGAACTTGAACTGGAACTCTCCAATACTAAAGGTTAGTAAAACCTCCTGCACAGCGCTACTTGGTCAGCGGTCGATCAGGATTATAATTTCTGTAGGGTAAATTCAAGCGATTTCTGGTCCGATTTACTTCTAAATAGAGTTGCGAACATGAGTTAAACTGAAATCCTAAAGATATCATTAGATAATGTGGTTGGTGGGTGATCTTATACTGTTCTTTTATTGCGGAAGATATCATTGGAACAAGAATTTATTGGTTTACTTTATCCCAAGAAATTCGTCAAGTTATTGTTGTCTAATCTATTGCCCTCGATATTCCTGTCCCGCACATTTCTGCTGAGATATAATGGCTCACACTATTTTTCAGGGAGAGTAGTGGATTTGGAAAAGGAGCTGGAGGAGGAGAAGACGAAAGTTCTTGCGGCTGCAGCTGCCACGCCAGCATCTAAACCTGCCAGCAGAGCGACTAAGAAGCAGGCTCAGAAAAGACGTAAGTTTTTTATCAAAATATATTTAAAACAAATAGCTGGCTCACCAACCGATATAGTCGACAAGATTCTTCAATCAAACAAGGCTGATAAAGCAGTCAACCCTTGGCCTTGGTAGCGCTAAAAGATAACAGATAAGCTTTAACTTACCTGTGCTTGTTATATAGCGTTGTTCTTCGGAATGATTTCATTAGAAGAAGAACATGTTATTATGATAACATCGCCCGTAGTGCATGGAATGAAATACAAAACAGAATTAATATCACGACTGTATCGACAATATCATCATTAAAGGTGAATTATAAAGGAGTAAAGGTACATACCTTACTCGGGATTATTATGACCGGGATAAAGTGGTGGGTTTAGGGTAATTTCGCCATATTTTTCCCGAACCACATTTTCACCGGTCGTTAATAAACCCGCCTACTCAGCTTTTAGGGTTCCCAAGGGGTATGGGTGCTCATATTTTAATCGTTGTCTTATATTCACTAAAGAAGACTATTGGGACACTTGTTGTAGGTTTTTCGACTTCATTTGGCTAAAATTGCAAAAAATTCACCTTTTTGCCCAATTCTTGTCATATATCCTTATTGTCAAATTTGATTCAAATAGGCCAATTTTTAATTTCTTAGGTATTGACTATCTCTACATAATGAAATAGGACTCAAAGTAAAAGTAACAGTTAAATTAAAACTTGAATTAATTAAAACTGATGAAAGGGATGATCCAGATGAAGATAACGAAGATGATTAAAACTTATTGGAAGACTAAACAGCTCTCCCTTTATCTTAATATCGATCTGGTTGTTACGCTTCAAATGTTAAAAATTATTTTCCATCTAGTTTGATTAACCACGAGTCATTATTTCTGTCTACTTTCAACAATTATTGATAATTCGACTTGTTTCACACAGTGGCGTAACGTTGCCTGTTGGCGCCCCCCTGCCGAAAAAAGCGCCCCCCCCCCCCCCTGTTGGCACCCCCTCCCCTTTTGGTGCCCCTCCCTAAAATTGAACAAATTAGGTGATTTTAAAGAATACGCCGGTAAAATCTCTAAAAAGGTGTGTATCTAGAGCTAAACGCGCAGTTTTGCTAGTACTTTAGTTAAGTTTTCGAAATTGTCCCACATTCAAACGACGATTTGGCGCCCCCCAAAGACGGCGCCCCCCTGCACAGCGGGGTCAGCAGGGCCTTTCGTTACGCCACTGGACTTTCACAAGTTTTAGCAATGCGAAAATTTCTAAACTTGCTTATCTCTAATAAGGAAATTTACATCTGAGACAAAATTTTTGAATCTAAAATTGAAAGGTTGGACACCGGTAAAATGGCGACCGGGAAAATGTGGTGGGTTTTGAGCAATTTCGCCATATTTTTCCCGAACCATATTTTAACCGGTCGTTAATAAACCCGTCGTAATAATCCCGAGTAAGGTATTGCCAGAGCGGCTCCCCGACCCATGTCTCAAGAAGAATTTCGCCGCGGTAACACCACGCACGATCAAATTTCCCTACTGCATACAATGTAATTGTTTTACTTTATTGTATCCCAGAGTGGTGTTTGGCGCATGTACAATGTAATAATCGTTTATATTATGTTAGGCGTGCAGAACTTGAAAAATCCTGCGCGTATCTGAGGTGTCGCCGTCGATCTGTATGTGGTTTGGTTGTAGATCATTTGGTTGTAGATTCATACTTTGCGCGGTTTGTGTTAACAATAACGATATGCGTATCATGTCACGTCATATTACTGCATCGTAAGCTAACTTTATTGACTGTAATAAAATATGCTGTCTCGTCTCAGTTATTATTTGTATCTAACATAAACTAATACATTTTGATGCTTACTCGACACATCACAGCACCATCGACTTTAGATCCTTTTATTTGATATATACGGTTCTTTAAAAGCATACCGCAATCTTGATATTATAGTTGCTTCTTGAATGTAACTGTAAAGTAACATCTGTTCTCAACTATGTGTTCCAATGCTTTCTACCATTCAGTGTCGATTAACTGTTAAATAATTTGACCAAAACCCATAATCATGGGTAGAGTGGACCGCTGCCAGTGTCTCTCTTTCCCAAACAAAAGGCAATGATATCAATTTGAATGACCGTTATCAAATGCAAAATGATACCGAGAATGAAATCGGTCGCTCGCTTTTCCCACTCATTCATGGCTTACGAATTGTAATAAGTTTCGATTTATAACATGTAATCTATTTCAATTGTAAATGAATGGGAAAAGCGAGCGACCGATTTCATTCTCGGTTTCATTTTGCATTTGATAACGGTCATTCAAATTGATATCATTGCCTTTTGTTTGGGAAAGAGAGACACTGGCAGCGGTCCACTCTACCCATGATTATGGGTTTTGGTCAAATATCATCTCTTTTTGATTATAATGTCAGGGTACTTTACAAAGCCGAAATGTAAACTCATAACTTCATTAATATTAATAAGGAGGTGATTTCAACGATTTCGAAATTTTTCCTTTAAAAACATTTCCTTGTGTTTAGGTAAGCATATCGGTCGATCACTGACTGAATATGCCACTTTATACTCATTCAAGTTGGCATTAAATTCATATATAATGACATTGAACTGTCGTGGCAAAGCAGAATTTGTTCAAAATCACGAATGAGCAAAATTTGAACCTTTCGCACGTGCAAACCTTGAGCGGAAGTTGCGTGCGCATCCAATATTGAATCCCCGTAAATTTTTGCATGATAGTGTTTTATATATAGTTTGATAAGCATGGAAAGTTTCAAAGTATTTCAAGAAGAACTATAATCACAACGGCACTCCAAAGTTGACGGAAATTGGTGAAAACAGCAATTTTCAGTGATTTTAGCAATTTTCTATCAATTTGGGCGTGGCCCCACGTGTGCAATTTTTCGATTTTCAACTTTAAAACTAGCCTATGACACAATTTAGACCTTTAGAAAGCAAAATTGAGCTCCACAACCCAAGGGATGGTGCAACACCAGAGAATACTAGAACGTAAAATTAGCGTTTTTATAAAATTATTCTTTAAAAAAGCACTAACTTCAATAGCGAATATCTTTATGAAGGAGCAAGCTAGAAAAACTTTCCGGTAGATTTTCAGAATGCTTAAACAATTATCTAACTTCAATACGCCCTCAAATTTTGAATAAAATTACTCCTTAATGGCGTAAAATCGATTTGAAAAATGATTACTTTGTGAAAAATCAAGTTTTAAAAATGGTTAACTTGATGACGTCATCAAGTGGTGATGATGACGTTGAATTACTTTTTAACATAATGTAAACTAAAGTCTAAACAATTATCTTCAAGACCTGTGGTCCAAAATGGCTGTATCTTTAAAGCTTCTGAATCTACGGACACCTGAATATAGCCTATAATTGACTGGCAAAGCGTCTATCCCTGAATACCTTACTCGGGATTATTACGACGGGTTTATTAACGACCGGTTAAAATATGGTTCGGGAAAAATATGGCGAAATTGCTCAAAACCCACCACATTTTCCCGGTCGCCATTTTACCGGTGTCCAACCTTTCAATTTTAGATTCAAAAATTTTGTCTCAGATGTAAATTTCCTTATTAGAGATAAGCAAGTTTAGAAATTTTCGCATTGCTAAAACTTGTGAAACAAGTCGAATTATCAATAATTGTTGAAAGTAGACAGAAATAATGACTCTTGGTTAATCAAACTAGATGGAAAATAATTTTTAACATTTGAAGCGTAACAACCAGATCGATATTAAGATAAAGGGGGAGCTGTTTAGTCTTCCAATAAGTTGTAATCATCTTCGTTATCTTCATCTGGATCATCCCTTTCATCAGTTTTAATTAATTCAAGTTTTAATTTAACTGTTACTTTTACTTTGAGTCCTATTTCATTATGTAGAGATAGTTAATACCTAAGAAATTAAAAATTGGCCTATTTAAATCAAATTTGACAATAAGGATATATGACAAGAATTGGGCAAAAAGGTGAATTTTTTGCAATTTTAGCCAAATGAAGTCGAAAAACCTACAACAAGTGTCCCAATAGTCTTCTTTAGTGAATATAAGACAACGATTAAAATATGAGCACCCATACCCCTTGGGAACCCTAAAAGCTGAGTAGGCGGGTTTATTAACGACCGGTGAAAATGTGGTTCGGGAAAAATATGGCGAAATTACCCTAAACCCACCACTTTATCCCGGTCATAATAATCCCGAGTAAGGTAGATAGATAGATAGATATATATCCCGACAATCTGTCGTAAAACAGGGGTTCTAGAAAACCCATTTTCCGATGCTCCTGAAACTTGAAACTTTTTTTACACTCGATTTGGTCAACGTCTAGACGCCCTGACAAATTTCAGATCTCTAACTCAATTTTAACATGGTTTTTAAGGCACCTGAATATGGCGATTTTGGGTTTTTTACCGAATTTCGCATAACAGTGCTGGCGAGTATTTTATGCAAATTTCTTAAAAATCTCAACATAACTTTTTTTTATTCCTGTCATCTTTGACATCAAATTAGAATGTTTTAAACTAAAAATAAATCTGCTGAACGACTTCCGATGAGTCTTAATGCCTGAAAAACTCCTGCCGGAGGCGGCGGCCTTCAGCCGCCGCCTCCGGCCGGAGTGCACGCTTCGCGTGCACAAAAGAGGCTTCCGACGTGTACCAAAGGGGGTATAAAGGGGTTATAATAGTAAAGGGGGTTTAATATTAAAGGGGGTACAATAGTAAAGGGGGTACATAGTATACCCCAAATAAAGACACCGCTCGTGCTTGCCAGCACTGTGATCAGCACACAGCCACGAGTTTATCAGCTGATATCATAATTTTATTTGTTTTGACTTGCTGAATTTTATCACTCGGTAATTTATTAAGCTTGTTTCACCAAAATAACACTTAAATTGGTGATTGATCCGTGTGTAACAGTCGTCAACCAAAAACTCGTTGCTATGCCTGTAATTAATTAACACATACCCGGCGTCGCGCGCGCAAAATATACTCGTTTTATACACATAATTATAGGGGAGTGGTCTATATTGCGAAGGAGCAGACTTTTGTCGACATCGCAGGTCCATTGGGCCACCTCAAATTATATCCAAACCCGATTACTTATTCCCTACGATCTTTTTGCCTTCGGCAAGAGTAGGGGAAAAAAAGAAAAATAACTAAAAGTAACAATATTTCGGTGGTGATAAGATCCTTGGCCCCCGGCCCCATTACTGGTATCCCTCATTAAGGTCTCATTCGCTAGAGGGGGGTTTAACAAACAGTTCAAGTACCTTTTAATGTGAAACCGAAAAATAATTAAATGTGCCAGGAAACGTCCTATTTTACCCTCAAATACCACCTTGATTCATTGCCACGACCACGACCCGCTAGCTAAATTAAAACAACATATACCGGACGTTTCCTCGGCATGTGTCCAATATTTGTTAGGTTTCTCAGTCTAAGCTGAGCCACTGATTAACTATACATACGTGGAAGAACACAGCGTTATAGATCTACCGGGCCATCAAGTCACCTGATTTGGTGTTAGACGTTCGGGGGACAGTTTAATGTACAGATGTTCGTCAGTCATCAGACGTTTATGATTTGATTTGAAATTTTAATTTTTTCCCGATCCATGACTCAAAGTGCCGAAGGCACAAAAGAGTCAAGGACAAGGGTTAGCGAACGAGTTTTTTTGTATATGGTAGCTTTGCGACCGTGCGTGCGTGCGCGTCAATATGTCGCCCATGTTCTTAACTAGCCTGCGCAAAGTTATTTTGCGAGATATTAATTGATAGCATATTGTTATTATTGTTAGTTATAGTATTACTACTTTGCGCAGATCCGTGTCAGGTTGCATAAACCATAAAGGTAAACAATAAACATACGGTAACACGATTTTCAAATTCAATATGGAATTAACTGGGCGGCGCTCGGCCTGTCACTCCGTTATATCTCAATCTGCATGCTTATAACACAATTATACTCTCGCGCTCTGAGGGCCGCGCATGATAACGCCCGAACGTAGTAGCTAGTGAGGGAGTTTGCGCGGCCTGATAGAGTGAGAGAGTATTATCAGTTATAATACCTTCCCGGAATTATATCCACTAAAAGTCTCCGACACTGAGAGCTGATGATTTGCACATTTTTCCCGCAAGGGAAGCGAAGGTATTATCAGCATAGACCTCAGACTGGCTGGCGGCAAGTATTAAAATATAATAATAGCTTGGCTATTGAGTGCTGAGCGCGATAATTCCCGACAGCTTGCTGGAGGGAACGCGCCAGCCAGTCTGAGTCTATGCTGATAATACCTTGGCTTCCCTTGCGGGATATATCGGCAAATTATCAGCTCTCAGTGTCCTAACCTTTTAGTGGATATAATTCCCGGAAGGTATTATAAAGCATATCTATCACTTTCATTTTCTAATGAGTCCTTGTAAGTTGTAGGTTTATAACCTACTAACGCCCGCGTTAGTAGGTTATAAACCTACAACGTTAGTTAGTCACTGTTGTTCGGAAAAAATGTTTTAGTAAATAAACACGGTTGTCTGAAAAAAAAACTAGAATACTGGGATTGCTTAAGTGCTCTGAGAAGTTATTAAAGGTGGTATGTATAGACTAGTTACCCAATATTTATATTGTAGACCACTCAGTATCACAACCCTATAGACTATTATTAAGTTTAAGTAATTATCCCCCGATGGCCAGAACCTTAACGATTTTATAAAACATCAAATTTTATAAAACATCAAAGCCAGGCTAAGATTGAATTTTGCCAGAATTCAAATAATGGCATAATGTCAAAATTAGAAGAGTGATATCGATTGACCTGAATTCTGGAACATCAATCATCCAAACATACACTAATAGTAATACAGCTCAAATCACACTAATTTCATGTCAAACATTGGGAGCGCACGAAAAAGAGACGTGCTACCTCTATATGTGATAAGGTTAATGAGGAGCAAAATGTGTCCTAGCCGACTGTACTATCTCTGAATATTGTTTGAATCCTTTAATATAAATTATGTGCAGTTTAGTGGTCGTGATTGAGATTAGTGTTCCTATGTGTGGTACGTGGTTTCGTCTTCTTTTGGGAATACTTACTAACAGGATACTCACTAACAGGATAACTGTTTGATTCCAAATCTCGCCTTGGTAACCTGGCAAAAAAAATCAGAAAATTAGGAAATGAAATGTGAACAAATTTTATCATAAATCTTGCACAATGGCTGTCGAGATACTAAATATTTGTTATTAATTGGTATTTGGTTTCATTACAGGGCAGAAGACAATTATCGGTTGATAGTTGTTTCTTGATTTGATTAAAGGCTCCAGCCAGGATCTATCAGGGTTTGGTGGGAGGAAGGTTGCAACTCTTGTAATCAAGAGCACGGCTCTATTGAAGGGTTGTATGGGATTTGGGAAGGAGAGATAGGTTAACAGGAACAAAATTTAAGGACGAGAGATAATTGCTGTAGCAAGTTGAAACGTTAATTTGGGACACATGATGGCCAAGCTCCGGAAATTTTACCAAACTGGTAATTGGTAAATTCATTGAATTTTATTCAACGCTAGTAGTCAATAACGGAACCAAAATATTATATGCACATTTAAAATTACAGAAACCCACCTGCTTATAATAGTACAAGACATGCCATTCATAGGGCTGCTTTTGACCCTTTTAATATAATTTTAACTCATGTTTCGCCAGGAGGTTGAGAAGAACTGATTTCCTTGTGATAACACTTTCTCATCCTTCATATCACCGTCACATCATCACCCCCTCTCACGTCATCACTCATAAAAACGTGTTTCACAGGAGGAGATTCTGGCACTTGGGCTCATGTGATATTTGGCATGTCCAGTCCATGTATCTAAAATACAATGCTCAATCAAGCTTGATTATTTCTATAGAGTTACTATCCCTTCTTTAAGTTAAATAAATTATGCAATGAGAGATCGAGTCTTTTGATATCAGTTACTGAAGAGGTAAAAGTTTATTCATAAAATTAATAATGAATTGAGTGTTGAAAAAGGAGAAAGTATTTGTTTAGATTATCAGCACCATTATAAGCAGTTTGATATTTAAACTTTTTTCAATTCTGTTTCAATACTTTTCTTTGTTTAATATATGCATATTTACATAGCAAATAGTAATATTTAATAATCATGTACGTTTCGGATGATTAGGTGCCTTTAGTATTTTTACTTCTCGCAGTCATTAATTATAATTTAACTATCCCAAATTTTTGTGTTTTTCGTGCCTACTAGTAATACTGATTAAAAATCATGCTTTTAAGACTTATAGGAAATGATATGAACGATAAGATTTTAAAAATTGAAATGAGGATAGCAAATGCAGATTGTCGTTCAGTCGGAAAGAATACCAGTTAAGTTGCATGCAAATAATGTTCTAGACAAAATCTAATCTAAACGGATTTTCATCTTTAGTTGAAGTCCCCGTTGAAGTTGTAACGGTGTGAAAGCTAGTAACGTATTCCCAGGCTTTTGGCTGAAGTTACTACAACAGATTATTATACGAATTCGCTATTCATTTTGCACAAGTTTAAAAGAATATTACTGCACAACTATCCTTGAACTACCTTGAAAGTTTGAGCGTCATCATTTGCAAGAAACTTCTTGTGTGACTCCATTTCTAAATAAATGCAACATCCTTTTAAATATATGCTATTGAATGAGAAATCATGGAGAGTCAAAGAAATGTCTATATAACAACAGCTTTGGTCACCTTTTGTTAAATAAAAATTTTACTATCAATAAAAGAAACTTTTAGTAATACGAGATTCAGTACCTACCAATAAAACAATAAAAATTTAGTCGCTTATTACTTCTTCATCTGTCACTCTGGCAGGTCAATACCCATAAGAACAAAGAAATTTGCACTTTAGGTGGAGCTCGAAATTGTAGCTCATACAGAAAAAGTGACACCGAACCCAGAACCAGAATATAAGACGTGAAACAATATCGATACGATTCAGCAATCAGCGGTCCGTAAAGTGACAACTTTCATGTACTTTCGTCTATAAAAATCGGTTCATAAGAATTGCTGTATATACGTCATCAGAATAACATTCGAGAGATTTGAGTTCTCCCGTTGTACAGCTGTCACTAAAAAATGCCATGTCTTTGAAATCAAGATCACGCCAAGGGGGCTACCTGTCAACTTCACAATCTTCATTTCTAGCGGTGTTTTACTTACTATCCATCTTCATATCGTGGCGTGGCACGACAGAAAGTTAACAGAAAGTAGATAGTGACATCTTGTAAGTATGACGACTATTGGGGCTGCTGAGTGATGAGGTTAATGGTTAACGTGTCTAACTAATGTTTGTAGTGTTGGTGTTCACTGGGAAACCTCATTGTAAGCTAACATGAATATACGGGAGCAGCAGCAGCATTTTATGTAGAGATTCGTATTTCGAACCTACGAGGATTTATTGGGATCTCACAATTCTAAATTTAAAGTAGCTAGATTCCTCCTACTGTTATGTTTAACTTTAAATAATACCCGATTAAGGAAATGCAAGCAAGAAGATGTCTGGTTGGACAAAATTTTAAGCTACCGAGTTTCAACTACACTTATTGAAATGTAGAAAATTTTCAGCGAATATTTCAAAGAGCAATGTTCCCCAGTGGTAAAACAGAAAGACAGGTTAATGGTTCTGATACTTATGAATCAGGACTCTGCAACCTTAACTTGATAACCAAGTGAATGAAAGTGGAACTACTCTTAATTGCAAATGCTGCGGAGTAACTTTAATAAGTCTCACAGGGGTTCATTTACTCATTGCATCCTCGCTATTGGTTAAATTTGTAGCTTAATTTATAAAATAAATAAATGACTTTATGGTGATTTATATTTTCAGATTAACAAAGGGACGGAAGCTCCTCAGTTAACCCTTGGTTCTCAACCACCAAACCCAGTAACCTTTGAAAATTGTACATCATAGGAACCTTCCAGAGGGGACCGCCAACCATCTCAGAAATATGATTTTAAACTTTTAATGGATCCGAACAGTCCCTCTTAGTGTCAAATGATTTCAATATCAGTTTCATTCAGCGGTACTGAATAAAAACCCCAGATTCTCACAATTAACAACTCCATGCTTTACTCCTGCTTGTGATTACTGTGACATTATAACAGCGCCATACATCTACGAAAGTCTGATCATTAAAGCCTAAGAACAGTTGCTGGATGCAGATTGAATTACCATCATTACATTATTAATTTCACTATTTAGCCCTGTTAAGTGTCGACCTTTTCTCCAATTCCTCCTGTTTATAAACTTACTGTTGCGCTGCTGTATTTGGAGGTTTCATAAATTATTCGACTCTTTAATTCCAGATCATGTCACTTATTTATTAGTTTGATAAGGATAACTGAACTTTTTGTAAGAAAGTGTTTATACAATCTCTATTGATTCAGAATTAAAATGATGTAAATATTCGTTGTTTGTACAAAAGTTCCCAAATTGCCCCATTTTGTCAGTTCACTGTACTGATAATACAACTTGTTTCATTTAGAGATTATAGAACAGAGCAGAGACAGAAAATAACCTTTATTTTATGAATGATCTCACTTAATTCTCAAACTATAATTAGTTAACAGTGTTTATACTTGTTGAAGCATCATTTCTTTATGAAAGCTAATCATGTTAACAAGCTATATCATGAAGTTATGATTTCAATAAAAATTTAACACGATGGCGGATGAAATTTCCTATAGAATAACACTAACCATGAAACTTTTAATAGCCACATGCTTTCGTTAATGGGACTGCTCAATACACATCATCACGTCCGCGTCATGGAGATGAAAAGAGGAAGAAGACAGAGATTGAAGGAGCAAAGATGAGCATGTGCGTGGTCGATGAGTATGTGGCTGCTCGTTTGACGCCGCCTTACGTTGTTGGTTTACTTAATGATGATGAAGAAGGTAAGCTCATCTTTTAAATCATTAACTGAAACCGAAAATTTCTTAGAGATTCAATCATAAGATCATTAATGTAATCATCCTACTTTAATTAATAGAGGGGAAGCTTACTTCATCCTTCATTCTTGTTTATCATTTGCATCTTCTCTTGTGGCTTCATTCTCCTGTTTTCTCATATTCTGACCTTTTCAAATTGTTTGCAGATGGATAAAAAATGCATATCAAACGTACATGCGTAGACAGCTTTCGGATCATTTACATTAGAGCATTAGTAAAGTAGATGATTGCTAATATATATTCAGTAACGAGTTAACAATCCATAAGCTAGCTAATGATTCTTCCCAGCAACAATGTTTAGTGTTTACCCTACCTAGATAGCAACCGTTCGACTTACAGAGTTCTGTTTTCTATATTTCTATATTTCTAGATAGATATGTTTACTCGAATCATTTACTGCAGACAGATTGGTTTATTATGCTCCAGGTTGCATTCTTCATCTAGAAAACAGTGAGCACGTACAATAGAGGACAGTTTTCTTGCTTGTCGACACAATTTCAAAGTTTGACGTCACCCCTTTATGTTGTCTACCAGAGGTTGCTTGCAATCGTGAGATTATGCGGACAATGATGACGTGCAATAATACAATTGACCAGCATCTAACGTGCATAACAGCACTTGGTAATGCACATTGCACCTACGTCAAGTATAAATACAGTTCCGATATCACTGCCACTTTTATTATTCCTTAGTTTCCTGTATGTTTCGCTTTACTTCATCACTTCCTTACCAACTGTCACAAAATAACACACATGTTACTTTTCCCTCATTTGCTGCTTCCCGACAAATTAACAGCTTTCTTCAGCGGTCAGAGGACGTCAAACTGATAAACATTAAACATCTGTCATTCTCTTGAATCATCAATATCGTATAAATTAATTATATAATTATAAGGCTAGACGCTAGACGACAAATGTCATATTTACAGATTTATATTTATATTTTAAAAGGACGGAGCCCTCGTTCAGTCTGTCTCCTCAAAAGAATCAAGAGTATATGACCCCCCCCCCCCCCCCCCCCCCCCCCCCCCCCCCCCACCCCCCCCCCCCCCATGAGAATATTTTAAACCGTTTGGGCAAGCCATGAAAAAAAACGAAAAAATCTTTTTATCACGCAATATCACCATCAGTTTTTTTAAATAATATGGCCCGTAAAATCGAATTTATAAACAAAATTGGCTGAATCCTGAAATTTTGAAGTTTCGACTTCTTAATTAAACCCCCCTACTTTTATTCCCCTGGGAAAAACAAAAACCTTTTTATTAAAGCTTACCCCGATTTCATAGTTAGGGTATTTTTTAGTACCGAAACCCCAAGGTGTCATTTTAGAAACCCACATATTTCGATTACTATACAAACTGCCCCAAGATCAACTGAATCAAAGTGAATTGGATTTTTAAATGGTCAAGTCTGCCCTACCATGACAAGAAAACGGAAGTTTTGTTTCCCATTGACTTTCCCCCCCATAAAAATACTCTTCCACACGATTATGATATTTTAATCCTCCAGAGTATTTTATATACGATATTGTTTCCCGGGGGAATTAGCTTCCCCTGTCGTTAGTTAGAAAATGGTGGGGTCGGGTTTTTTTTTCTGTGACCAGGGCCTCATCCACGTTGTCCCCAAAACAAATTTTAGAACAAGTCAACGTGTCTTTTCACGCCCGTTTATGAGATTTTAATTCCGATCTTGGGTTTTCAAGGAATTACGTGGGACGTTTTTTTTAAGGGCGGGATGAGGCCGCAATGAAAAATAGTTTTGTTTTTCCTTTTTGTGCGAACTGACAGTTTGCCCAATGAAAAAATTTGGCTGACGAAAAATTTCCATAGAACGTGGCACTTTTAATTCTTTAAAGCGGAACCCGTATAACCCTAAAGGGTGCAAGCTCAAGGCCCTAAATAATTTCCCCTTTTAAATCGTTTGGGGATCCAAATTTTGGCACAAAATTTCTTTTTTTTAAAATCCCCTATTTTTTATTTTTTCATGCTGATTGAAAAGCAAAAAAAAGCATTTGACCGCAAAAAATTTCTTTTGAGTCTTTTACTTTTTTTGGGCGGAAATTTTTGCGTTAAAGTTGATGCCGTGGTGCAGAAAAAGGGCACGGATCCATATATAATATATCGCCTGTTTTATAATGAAGATTAAAGGGTTTTTTAAAATATATATATACATTTATAATTATTATTTCGATACCCGCCATCAGCAAAACCAACCGCTGATGAATTTTGAGCCATACTGATGAGTCCTATAAAACGAAAAACTGTTCTATGGATAATATATGCTCGCCTAGTTTACTCAAGCTTGAGCACTCTTGGGATTGAATAAGGATCTTATACCGCTCAGCTTAATGCAAAGCTCCTTACTGTATTGATTGTAGAGCGGTTGGTTACCTATGTTTTATTCCTAATCATTAATGGCTTAGTGCTCAGTGGCGTGGTTCCGGGGCAGTAATCGAACGTTGCCGGATCGATACCCGCCATCTGCAAAAACAACCCTGATGATTTGTGCCATGACTGATGTGTTCCGATTGGACGAAACATGTGTATATGGATATATTATATAATATATATTTTCTATACAAGTTTTCCCCTTAACTAGTATATATCTTGTCAGAGTTATAACCTCATTAATTTAATGGAGTGTAAGACTTGTAAACAGTCGTATGTCGGTTATACTACCTCAAATCCCCTAAGAGATTCTCTTAACAAAAAGAGCACATAACGAAAGGTATAAGAAGTTGTACATTTGTTAACCATTTTTTTAGATATTGATCTTGATTTAGATTTTTGAACCCATAGAGCTATAATTCCTCACTTAGTAAGCACCTTTCTGTCATTATCGTAGACGCTTTTGTTTTTGGACTATATTTGTAACGCAGACAAAAGAAAAGGATTATGGAAGATAGAGAGGGGTTCTACCAGACCCAATTGAAAACCTTGAAGGTTTGGGGTTGGAACACCATGATAGTAACATCTACTTTTTATATCTGCGGAGCTTAGTTTTAGTTTTAGTATATTTTGTAGATTTTATTTAGTCTATACCATTTTCAGAGACGTGCATATTACCTTTTTTACGTAGTATAAATTTTACAGGTTTTTGTTGTGATTATAAGTAATTTCGAGATATCTGTTATCAGTATTTAGATAAGAGATAAGATAAGAGTTACATTTTTAACGGCTTTCAGTTTCTTTTTTAAATTTCAGTTCATAAGATTTTCCACTGCTTTAGTTTGTATTTATTATCAATTGTATCTGATTATTATTGGTTGTAGTTACTTTAATGATATAATTTTCAAAATGATGTACATAAACAATGCAAAGACTATCGAAGATTAATCACAACGCTTTTTTTTATTGTGTAGAGGTCCAGCACATGAAATATATATATATATATATATATATATATATTTATGTATATTGTCAGTCAGCCACAAACTGTCAGTAAACACATCGCCTTGAATTCAAATGTCGGTAAAAGGTACTTTACAGTCATCCTCAAATTATTTGTTATATAGGAGGTGTTGAAGTATTAAAAAACTGTATAAATATATATAATATTGGTTTTTGTTTATACATATCATGAAAACGGACGTTTGCCGCAATTTGATTTGTTTCAATTGTTTCAGACGCCACCACTGGAGCTGATGATTCCTTCAACACCTTTTTCTGGGAGACTGGTTCTGGGAAACATGTCCCTCGAGCTGTCTTCTTGGACTTGGAGCCGACGGTTATAGATGAGGTTAGATTGGGAACCTACAGACAACTCTTCCACCCGGACCAGCTGATAAGTGGCAAGGAGGATGCTGCTAACAACTATGCTAGAGGACATTACACGGTGGGAAAAGAGAAGATAGATGAGCTGGTGGATAAGGTGAGGAAACTCACTGACGCGTGTAGTGGACTGCAGGGCTTCCTCGTCTTCCATTCCTTTGGAGGGGGTACTGGCTCCGGGTTCACCTCTCTATTTCTTGAGAGACTAGCAGTGAACTATGGTAAAAAGAGTAAGCTTGAGTTTGCTATCTACCCCTCTCCTAAAGTGGGAACCTCAGTTGTAGAACCCTACAATTCTGTCCTCACTACGCACAACACCTTAGAGTACTCGGACTGTGCCTTTATGGCTGATAACGAGGCTGTCTATGACATTTGCCGTCGGAACCTTGACATTGAGAGGCCCTCTTACACCAACTTGAACAGACTCATGGCACAGATTGTCTCCTCCATCACTGCTTCTCTCCGATTTGATGGAGCTCTAAATGTTGACCTGACAGAGTTTCAAACTAACCTGGTCCCTTTCCCCCGGATCCACTTTCCTCTGGTAACCTACTCTCCGGTCTTCTCTCCAGAAAAAGCTTATCACGAGCAGCTCTCAGTGGACCAGATTACAGCTGCTTGTTTTGAACCTGCCAACCAGATGGTTAAATGTGATCCTAGACACGGCAAGTACATGGCCTGCTGTCTCCTGTACCGAGGTGACGTAGTCCCTAAAGATGTGAACGTGGCTATCAGCACCCTAAAGACCCAGAGGAACATACAGTTTGT